GTTTTATTAAATTTTTCAGCAACCTGGCTATTTTCTGAATAATAGAAATGAAGAAGAGAGAGGGAAAAAAAATTAGGTTTTAAATTCTAATGATTCTAAAATTTATGGTCCTAGAATGTTTACGCTTCTCCAGTTTCTGCTTAATGGATACAAATGAATCTTTTGTAGAAAGCGCATTAAAATGAACCCTTAAATGAAATGAAAACTCCATATTTTATGCGGAAAGGGGTAATTTCAATTAGGAAAATAAACGGGAAAATGGATTGTGGCGATGATAAAAACATTCTGTAAAATGCATCATCTTATCAGTGAAAAGCAGGAATAATAAACGATAATAATTTTTCAGTTTAATGTTGGCGAAAGAAAATATTCATCATCCGATTTTTTTTTCCTACTACATTATGAATCATCTCAGACACTCTACTTGATTTTCAGAAAATTTCCATCGATTTTTACGGGGCAGATGATTATTTTAAGAACAATTTGTGAAATGAGTTCTGCCCTCAGACACGTTGACGTAAATTTGTATCGTAACGGTAAAACTCTTTATTAGAATTAATTTTTATTCACGGCCTGTTCACAAGTGCTTCGCTAATACTGGCTTAATTTTTTTTTGTACATACTTTCCTTCTTTATTTTGGGTAAAATCAACTTTATGCTAGCAAGATTCGTACGCAACTTGAAAAAAGTGGGGGGGGGGGAAATACTTGCAAATTTAATTTTTTTCGATATCAGTCTCAGGAAGAAATAAATCGTGTAAAGAAATCGCACGATTGCTACAAGGTATTTTTCATAAAAATGTTTGATTACGTAATGAAATTTTATATTCTTTTTGTGTCGAAATCGTGGTTAAAACCAGAAAATATTCATAAATTATAAAATTATTCTTTTTATAAATTTTTCAAAATTTGTACAAACTTCGTATGGAAAAATTATACATTTTCTTACTGCTAAGGCCTTTTAAAATGTAACGTGAAAAACTAAAGAGAGGAAAGGGGTTATGATTTGCCTACATTTATTTTTTTGTTTGGCAAGGGGGGGGGGAGGTGAACAATGCTTTCGTAAAATACAATAATTTCTCTTATTTTAAATTTTTTTTCGATGCATAAAATTTATTTTTAAAAAATGGAATGAAAAATAATAGGAAAGTACTAATTTTGAAATAAAAGTTAAATTTGACGAAAAAAATAAGTCGTACAATTTCTTTTAAGAGTTTTAAAATTGTATAAATATATTAGAAAGTAAATTTTATTTTAAAGTTACATTTTTTAATTGAATTTAATCCTGAAGCTCTTAAAATTTGATTAATAAGCAAAAATCAGGAGAGGCTGTAGCAACTTTCTTGCGTACGCATGGTTCAGGTTTGTAAACAGCTTATTTTTGCTGTGGTTAATACTTGAACAATTCTCTAGCAAAGAATAATTTTATTAATTAAAACATTTTCAAATAGTTTAAAAAATTTTCATTTACCAAGACAAACGTATTTAGCAATCCATTATCTCGTTTTACATTGATGGTAATAAGTAAGAAGCATAACTACTTTTTTTTTTCTTTAAATATAATGTATCTCAATAAAATTTAATAGCTTTTCTATTAAACATTACAAAAGAAAAAGAAAATGCATTTCGAAACTTGTTATATTTCTGTGTTACCTCAATCATTATACATATTAAAGTTTCAAAATTATCTCAAATTATTGTGACGATATTAATTTTGAAATCAATCATAATATTAATTCATTGTGTCTGAGAGTTGCACACTGGAAATTGGGCATTAATATAACAAATCTTTAAAACCATCTCTTTACTGTGTTATATTAACCTGAATTATTCTATTAACCAAATTACAACACGTTCATTCACAGGGATTCGCGATGATTAAATCAGCTGTCAAACTCCAATCGAACACCACTTGTCACAAATTCGAATTCAAAATCCATACGGTGAGATACATTTCACCTGCTGCATTCTAATCGTCTGCAGTTGCATAATTCCCCCTCATAGGTATTGCCATTTGCATGACAAAACTCGAATGCTTGCTGCGCAAGAACCGTATGAGGCCTGGTGGCAGTTTGGAACATTCGAATAGTGGAATGATGCAGCCTCAATTAAAGATTAGGGATTTATGGAAGACTGAGATTTAACGCAGTCGGCACACGTGCGAATTCAAGAAAAGAACAAAAAACTGGTCTATCTCGTTTGGAGTTAGTTTATATGGCAAGAAAGGTGTTAAGTTACGATTTGTTTCTTTTTTTTATTGGAATTAAGTGAACTCTTCTTTATTTTAGAAAGCGATAACTGTATTACTGGATAAAATTTATGCTTTGCCTTATTTAGGGTCGAGAGTACTAAAAAAGAAAAATACAATAAAATGGGAAGTAGAGTTTTTAATCACATCACATGGGTTTCGTTTGGGTGGGAACATAAACTGGCCTATTGGAAAATGCGTTATGGAGAAACCACCAGTGGTGCATGAAATTTCACTGCTTACGGGCATTAACTCTGCGGGGATTGTTATTTAAACAAAAATACAAGAAATAAATTGATTTATTCATAGACGAATTTAAGCGATAAATTTTATAACTTTATCTAAGCACTCTCTCCTTGCTAATCTTGTGTGTTAGTTTAAACTCATTCACTAACGTTATTTAAACTGATTAAAGAAGAAGAAAAAAACTGTTCATTCACTGTCATCTATACTGACAAAAGAATATGTTAAAAATCACCAGAATATGTCAAAATCTACCATGTTTCTGGCTGAATGGGAACATAAAAAGCTCAGTGGTTTTTGCCAAAGAGCTTAATTGATTTTGGTAAATATTAACAATAAAATATAGTTTTATAATGAGTGATAAAATTAGGTAAATGTGATGAAGTTTGATAATTTTATCATGATACCATAGAGCATAGCATAAAAATTATTTATTCTGTTAAATTTACTTTTCTGCTTTGTATTTTTTAACTAAAAGTGCGGTAGCAAGAAGTATAATTTTGAAAAGCGTTTCCATATGAACGGAAAAATTAACAAATGAATGGTTTAAATAGCGTATGTTTTGGTTTTCATTACCAGAACTATGTTTGTTTTTACTAGAAATACTATTACCATACAGTACGCAAATTTACCAGAATTTTTTTTCTACTTATATAAACTACAAATTTAATAAATTTGTTTTAAACAACTTCTCTAGATAATCTTTTTTTTATCTTAAGCTTTTCTCATAACTTTTCTTGATTTTCACAGACAGCAAAAAACGAAAAATAAATATTTTTTCATTTATATAATCGTAAATAAAGCAGATTACACAAAAATTTTTCTCTGCTTAAAATTTTGCTCAAAACTTTATTATACAACTTTTTAAGAAAAAAAATGCAATGATATTTTAGAATTTTAATAATTAAAACTCAATTTAAAACTTTATTATATTTTTGTTGCCAGGATAACCTGGTTGGCAGGGCGCTGGACATCCGTTCATGACAACAGGAGTTCGAATCCAGCCGGCCGAAGACTCCCCGTGTAGTAAATAGTGACTAGTGGGCCTTAAATCTGTCGGGTCTCAAAGTCCTCCATGTTTTCATTAAAAATTATACCTCAGGGGGTGCTGAATTGGAGAATTGATCACTCATGTCAAAAATAATATCTCTGGATGAAAGAATGAATGTTTGAAAGAATGAATGTATGAAAGAGTCCGTTCTATAAATGAGTGTGACGTGTGGGTGTGGAAGAAGTCGAAATCTTGCCCATAGATAGCGCCCATGAAAAACAAGAACAATCGCGCTGCTTGCCTTTGACATTTTTAGAGAGTGTAAATTTAATTGACGGTATAATTCTTTTAAAAAATGCACAATTTTTAATAAAGTAATAATTACATTTATGATGTAATATTTAATATTATTATTTCATTTCATATTGTAGTTTTTCGTATACATAAATTTTCAATCATCTTTGAATTGCGATGTGCTGTTTTGCTATTGATGATATTTCTTGATATTTCTATGATATTTATATTAGCAATTGGCAATTATATAAAATATTGAACCGTTATTAATACGATATGCAATGCAACTTTATGATGATAAATCATAAGGAACTATCTCGCATATAGCAATGGAAACTATTAATTACAATTAAAGTTTCCGGATTATGAGTTTCAAATTAAAACATGAAATCTGAAATTTTTCAAATATTAAAGAGGATTTAAAAATAAAAGGCCGTTGAATACAATAAAATTGCTTGAAAAAGTATTCCTAATGAAGTTTAGATTTGATGTTTCAGGGTCAATCTATAGACGAAAAAAGAATTACATGTTTGCAGATGTATTTAAAAATGTATTTTAACGTTTTCATCTTCAAAAAAGTAAGCACCAAGTCTTATAAAATAATCAAATTTGAGTTATTTTGATATTTTCCCCCTTTTACTCAAATTTACTTACAAATATTAAAGTTAATTCCTAGGATTTTCAATATTTAACTGTAAAAGTAATACAAATTTTACTATTACAAATAACTTATCTATGACAATTTTTAATGTAACTCTACCATAGTTATACGCTATATCCAGCTTGGAAAAATCACATTGATCGAAAGCAAATACTAGACTAAGTCATAATTATTTTTTATTAAAGCCATAGTAAAATTTGGCTTATTGTGTTTAAAATATGAAGAATTTTCAACTCATTGAAACAAAAATCCAAATACTTTGAATCTTCAAAGCCTGTCATAACCTAAGGCATAAGCTAGTAGTTTGAATTGAACGCATATTTTCTTCATTAAAAGTGATAATTTAATCCAATTTAATGCATACAAATTCTCACTGCAGGAATGTTTGTTTACGTTTGTTACGCAATTCGTACGTCACATTTCCCTGGAGAAATATCTCCTTGTTCGGAGAATCCAGATGCAAATCACTAGTTTTTTTATTTATTATTATTTAAAAGTTTCATTTAAACAATCTTATGTTTTTGAAAATCTTTCATACACATTTTTATTTCTATTTTTTTGCAGCAAAACTGGTCGAAAGATCCTCTCAAAGTCCTCTGAGTCCACTGTCTCTAATGTCACCAGGTGGACAGCGATGTCCCACCTCACCAGAACTCACTCCTTCAGATACGGACACCGGTCCTTTGGTGGACGATGAAGTGGACAAGAGGTCCATCAAAATATCAGAGGACAATTTTGATTTGTCTAGCAAAGACAGCGTGGACAGCATGGATCAAATCAAGCCGACGAAGACGAAGCAAGACAGGAAAAAGGACAAAGGTGACAAAGCTCCTCCTATTGTGGGCAAATGCAATTGTGAGGAGCTCAAATCAGTGGAGGCGCACCTGGAGACAAAGGATTTGTGGGAAAAATTCCACGGATTAGGTACTGAAATGATCATCACCAAGTCCGGAAGGTGAGTGGTTTAATTAACTTATTCTCACTGACAAATGGAGAAGCGATTGTTTTGGTCTGAAGCAAATTCTGATTGGCTGATGCATCAGCGATTATAATCTTTCAGATAGAAGATGGAACAGCTTTTGTATTCGCGATATAAATTAATATTGGACATGTTATTCTATTATAGCAATTCGCCGACATAATTGTTATTGTAGTTAGTTGGTATTGGTCATTTTTTAGTCATCAGTCATTTGATAATCTAATTACTGTGTCTTTATAATTAATAGCATTTTTGTATTCATATTCTTTTCATGTAGACAATTATGCAATCAACAAGGAGGGTACTGAAAGAGTTTCTTGCCTATGACAGTGTATTTTTAAGAATAGATAGTACAAATTTGCAATACTCTGTTAAAAATTTTAGAGTGAGTTTAACCATAATACCGTTCAAATTTTGTGCAGTTTGAACCATATTATTGTACTTTTTAAACCTGATTACACTATACTATGGTTCAACTTAATTGAACCATCGACTTTAATTTTTTTAAGGTTAGTTGTTAATTGCCATTTTTTTCGTAATCAGTGGTTAAATAGAGTAATCACTATATCTTTATAATTAATAATAGCTTTTTTTATAATAGGTTTATGGACATTACATGCTGTCAAAAAGTACAGTACTCAGTCTCTTGCGAACTATGATGCATTTTTAAGACATATAGTTTCTAGTACAAATTAACTGATCATCAGCTGTTACCACATTTACCAAATGTATTCACTTATTATAAAACCATATTTTATTGTTAATTTTACCAAGAAAATTACCGAAGTGTTTCGGTAAAAATTACTAAACTTTTTTATGTTTCCCTTCAGCCAGGAACACGGAAAATTCTACCATATTCTAGTAGTTTGACCAAACGTTTTTTTTTTGTCAATGTATTAAATATATGACATATCTTTAGATTTTCGAAAACTTAGTAGCTACTGTGTATTCGGATTTTGTTAATAATTTATTGTGTATTCAAATTTTGCATCCATTTATTTATATTACTTTTTAAAAGAATTGTCGCAATATGTGTCGCGTAATTTCTTCATCAAAAATCATGCCACGAAATTTTTAGCTTTTAAAAGCTTTTATTTATTCCCAGCCTAATTCGTTTTTTTTTTGTTTTTTTGTTTTTTTTTTTTCTGATTTGTAGATTCGTTTTGATTCTTCTCGCGTTATATTCACCTTACATTTTTGATGCTTTTAAACGCTGTTAAAAGTTTTAAAGTATGCTGAACCATAACATCGTTACAATTTCTTGCAACCTTAATAGGGTGCTTAATAGAGTGAATCTTAGTTATTAAACTACGTTACATGATATTATGTTTCAACATGAACGAAGATATGGTTCAATTTAACATCTCACGATTAACATTAAAATATGATTTTGTAATATGAGATAAAATTTAGTAAGTGTTTTAAAATTTGGTAATTTTATCATGATACCCTAGAGAATGAGATAAAAATCATTTATTCGGTTAAATTTACTTTTCAATTTCGTATTTTTATATTAAATATGTGGTAATAATAACTATAATTTCGAAAAGAAAAACTTCGGATGAGCCATTACCACACGAACGAAAACGTCATCAAATAATAAATATTGTATATTTTGGTTTTATTAAAATTTCGTATTTTTTACTAAATGTATGGTAAAAATTATGTATTTTTTATTAATTTTAATCAAGTAATAAGAACTATTATTTTGAAAACCAGAATTTCAGGTAAACCGTAACCATATGAACGGAAAATTTATCAAACGAATGGTTTAAATATCATATATTTTATTTTTATTACCGAAATTGCGTTTCTTTTTATATTAGAAATATCATTACCATACAAGTACTGCAGTTTCACCAGAATTTTTTTTCGGAAAAAGTCATCGCAACAACTAATCGTTTAGACATTTAATCATTTAGACATAATATTTTAAAAATACATAACATTATATAAAAATATCAAGAACTTTACCAAATATGTTTTTTAAAAAAAGTTGAATATTATACATACTTTCATTATATAACGCATAACTAAATTTCGTGAATGAACTTACCAATAATTTCTCGTTTCGCACATTATAAATTTTTGTAGAAACTGAATCATACTTAAAATACCAGTGCAATCAATCATATTATTTAAATTTTTATAGAAAAATAATAAACAAGATAAATCTCTACAGCATTCTAATGATGAAACTTTAAAAAATATTTTGAAATGCAGGCATGAGGATAATGATTAGTTTTTTTTTAAATACAGAAAGCGTAGAAAATTATTTTGGTCTATTTTCTTGGATATTATCTATAGAAAATGAAAGAAAGTTCGATAATGTTTTTTTGTTTTTTTTGCTAAAATAACTGAGAAAAAGAGAAGGGGCAACTTTTGTTTATAAGTTCGAATTATAATGTCAATTTTAGTTAAATAGAATCTCTATTTTTCTCAAACCAAAAATTAGATTTTCGTCATTGAATCACGAATTTCGTTATTAAATGTAAATTTTAAATCCAACGCGCAATTAATAACACGAAAATATATAGCTAAGCGAAGCCATCAACTATGCAAGGTGTTCTGTAATCATCACCTTTGATATTTATTTAAAAGATATTTATCAATACACATTAAAGATCACAAAATATTATTTAAGCTAGGAAAAAAACGCTTTCGTACTTTAACGAATCTTTACTGAGCAAATCTTTACTGATTTCTGAAAACATCAAATACCATTTAATTGCCGAAGGTTACGGAGAGAAATGAGAAGATGATTGTTCGAAGCCCTTTAACTTTAAATAAAACTATAAAACTAGTTTTCATGTTTCCGTTCCGCCTTCCTCACTAGTAGATTAGCAGATTTCTAAAGCGTTTATTTTTCTCTCTCGCTAATGTTAACTAACGACTTCTAACGCGACAATGTCCTCTCTTCATTTCCCCCTTTGAAAGTAAAGTATATTTAAGGTAGTCGATTATAGAACACCATGTAAAGCATTTTATTAAAAACAATGAAATAAATTTTAAAAAATCAAATCCGATAATTTGTTTTTTATTATTGTTATTATAGACAAATTCTAAAATATATTATGTCTGCACGGAGAAAAAATTCTGGTAAAATTACCGTATTAAATGGTGATGATATTTCCAGTTTTTTTTTTCTTTTTTTTTTAAATAAATAAAATTTAAAAAAAAAAAAAAAAAAAANAAAAAAAAAAAAAAAAGAAAACACCTGCCAATGAAAACCTAAACATACGGTATTTAAACTATTCTTTTGGTTTAAATATCTAAATCATCATTTTCCGTTCCTATAATAATGATTGACCAGAATTTCTGGTTTCCAAAATTATAGTTTTTATTACCTCACCTTTACAAAAATACAAAGATTAAAAGTAAATTTAACCCAATAAATAGTTTTTACGCCCTGCTCTAAGGTATCATGATTTAATGACCAAATTTTACCGCATTCACCAAATTTTATCACACACTATTAAACTATATTTAATTGTTAATTTTACGAAAATCATTACCAAAGAATTCAGTAAAAGTTACCGAACTTTTTTTATGTTACAATAGAATCAGAAACTCAGTAAATTTACCATATTCTGGTAGTTTTAACCATAATTGCTTTCACTATGTGGGAGGGAACATTTAATTTTTTTTTGTCTTAGTGTTTAGTTTAATTGTAAATTCCTTTATCGTTATTTTATGTTTCCGATAAATAGAATATATTTTAAGTAATAAATAATTCTCAGATTGTTTAAAGTTATTCTCTTTTTCCGTAAAAATTTTTTAAGAACATTTCGAATTAAAAAGAACAAAAAAAATAAATGAACTGAAGGTTTTGACCCGTTCAAGTTCCATTGACTTCCTAAGAAGCTAAAAAAAGATGGATTATTCTTTTTTGGGAAGAAAATTATATGTTCGATCATTCTGTGAAGAATTCGAACACTTTAGGGGGATCCTCAACTCCACCTCTCACACTACCAACCCAATAATCACCATTTCTCGCGGCATTTCATTACCCTTAAGTGCAAAAAAAAAAAAGAAAAAAATAGAGAAAGTGCAAATTTGCAACTTCACGGGACTCATGAGACTATTAATTTACCTTAGTTATAACCTTAAATTGCAATACCGTTGCAAGAAATACCTTAATTACAGCAAGTACAATGGATGTTATAAAAATCTAATTTATTTCTCACGTAGAGTATTTTTTAACAGCTGTTTGTTTTTTGATGGAATAAGTGTTATAAAATTTAATAATAAATTATGCGTGTGAAAATGGTGTAATAGCTTTTTTTTTTTTTTTTTTTTTTTTTTTTTCATTTTAAGGAAAAACTACGGAAATTTAACAGGTGCCATTTTCTACCTTCAATACTCTACAGATAATTTCAAAGGGTATTGCCACTCCAGAATGTTCTGAAAATGAAAAAAAAAAGAAAAAGAGAGAGAACTTTTTTAAATTTATAATTATTCTTCAAAGAAGAATACTATTATATAATATTTTACGATAAAAATGGACTTTATGGAGAAAATGATTTTTACGGTAAAATAGATATTATGGATAATGCACCCAAAGTAGTGCCGATACTTTAAACAGTAATATGATCGAAATGTTTTACAATGTGCTAAACAGTCTTTTTTTCTTTTCTTTTTTTTTTTTCAACGCTTAACTGATTGTCACATCAAACTTCTTTAAATAAAAAATGCCTAAACTTTTTATTATATTTAGCAATATGTGATAATATTTGGAGGAAATTAAATATGTATCAATATTTGGTTCCTTAGATTAAGTTTTCAATTTTATTGAGATCACATTTAAGCCTATAATCCTTTAGTTCTGTTACCATTGCAATTTCATCCAATGATTTGTTTTGAGTTCAAATTTAATGCTTGAAATTCGCAAGAAGTTTTTGCTTTACAAATTATTTATTCGCAATATCGAGAAAAGTTAATTCTTAATATTGCTTTACAATTCTGAATTGTTATTT